ACAAAGTAGAATTTTTGCTCACAAGACTCCATAGCTTAGAGGGAACATTGGCTTAAAGTGTCCGCCCCCCCCCCCCCCCCCCCAATCCTTGCTTTCATTCCCAGAGACGAGGTGCCGAAAGGCCCAAGAGGAAGAAGAACCGTGATCAGGCTTGGAAGAAATAATGACCCAAATCCTTTAAAATTCAAAATGAGCTTTCTGGATGCTGAAAGCTCGCGATCCTGACTTGCTAAGATCATTTCAGATTCCAGCAACAAGGAAATGGTCAGTTTTTGTGACAACAAAGGTTGCAGGAGACCGTAAAGGGATTTTCTTCAGCTAAACGTCTTCACACATTCACGTGAACAATCTGGTTTGCTTCCTGGGTTAGTTATAAAGGGACAAACTCATCTTCAGGCTCCATAATGGATCTGTAAGCAAGTCCAAGGAGCTGCGGTGGCTCAAGTGGTTAAGCAAGAAATTGCAAGTTGATAAATAGGTACCACTTCAGTGGGAAGGTAACAGCATTCCGTGCACCTTGGTGTTTAGTCATGCCGGCCACATGACCACGGAAACGTCTTCGGACAGCGCTGGCTCTTTGGCTTGGAAACGGAGATGAGCACCGCAACCCTAGAGTCAAATTCGACTGGCTTTCGAGCAAGGGAACCTTTACCTTTAAGCAAGTCCTAAATGGTTGTTTCTGAGTGAATCTCAGATCACAGTCCGCATTGTTTCCAATGGGTGTCTTGAATCCTGGAACTGGCAAATAGGACGGTGTGATTGGATTCCACTGTCAAAGGACAGTGATATGGGAGATGAAGTCTATAAGGTCTGGGAACCAGCCATATATGTCAGATCAGGTTCTTCCATCTCACCTACGGTTGCCCCTAAGGAGAGAAACACGGTCTTCAGATTGGCAGCTATAATCTACTTTCTCCCGCCTTCTTCCTCTCTGCCTCTTTCTCTCACTATGGCCTCCAGTCCCATAGTATTTATCCCCATTGCTCTGACGCTGCTCCTGGTTTCTGCTCAGTGGCCTTCCAGTGTCTCTGTCCAAATCTGCATTTGCAGAGGAGAGTGACAAGGGGCCTGGAGACCAAGAAGCCCTATGAGGAAAGGGTGAGGGACTTGGGAGTGACAAGGGGCCTGGAAACCAAGAAGCCCTAGGAGGAAAGGCTGAGGGACTCGGGAGTGACAAGGGGCCTGGAGACCAAGAAGCCCTAGGAGGAAAGGCTGAGGGACTTGGGAGTGACAAGGGGCCTGGAGACCAAGAAGCCCTAGGAGGAAAGGCTGAGGGACTTGGGAGTGACAAGGGGCCTGGAGACCAAGAAGCCCTAGGAGGAAAGGCTGAGGGACTTGGGAGTGACAAGGGGCCTGGAGACCAAGAAGCCCTAGGAGGAAAGGCTGAGGGACT